GGGGAGATTGGGGAAGGGGAGGGTAATTGGGCCTCCGGTAACCTCACTCACACGACGAAACACAACGCAAGCGTTGCTACACGTCGGTTTTCTGTGAGGCCGTGGTATCACTCCGGTGGAGCCGGCCCATTCGTGCCGAAGCCTGGCTCTCCCACACTTAAATATCTCAACAATTGTGTATATATTTTCAATGAGTCAATAATAATATCCAAACAAGCATGTTTTGTATATCATCCGATCAAAATCTTCCAAAGACGTTACGAGATCCATTCATCTGGTTTTTGCTTAACTTTTTGTTCGCACAAGATCTAAGTTTTTGCCTTGAATCAGTGTCTAATTATACTCACAATTCAGTGATTCTGTCTGTGATCATCTTGTATCCGGCGAATAATGTCTGGATGTGTAATTGCTAGGCATTGTGTTTATTGTGCCTTGTTAGGAGCATCCTGAGTTAGTTTTCTTATTTTTAGTGTCTGTAGTGAGTGTAGAAAGAATTTAATCTTGAACTTACATGTGATTAAAAATCGTAGAAATAGACACATGGGAGTCTTGGTCCTAGTCAAAACGTCAACCTAGATAAAAGAACAAGAGAATTCAAAGTAAATTCTGTATGGATATATAGGACAAATAGTTTTATAAAAGTATAATTATAACTCACAAAATTCTTTTAATAAAAATCAGATACTTAAACGGTAGATCTTAGTCAAGATTCATGAGTAGCTATAAGGTTATCGACATACATAAACGGCTTGTTAACTCCTCTTGAATAACATCTCTATTAAAACAAACAGTTACGCAATAACTTCATTATAAACGAAAAACTATGGTACACTACAATAAACCCGCATGAGTAACTCTCACCACAACAGAAACGTAACTTACGTTTGTTTATAAAACTTCACACGCATCACTTGAATCGGAATCCGTCTTAAAATAATATCTATACAACAAATATCTCAAATATGTATAAACAGGTATAACAATCGATAAAACTTTAACAATAAAAAGATTGTATTGCTATTATAATATCTAGAAGAAAAAGCTATGTAAAAAATGCGGACCAATCCCCGTTGAGTATTGGTTTGTTTACGGTCGTCGAGATTCCGAAGTAAACCGAACAATTCCGAACGCAACGGTCTCCGCTGTGGCACTCGTGCGCAGGTCGCGATGACTCGAGTGAGGAGTACACGGACACAGTGTAAGGGGAAAGTACATCATGTTCTCCAATATTTTGGGTAAGGTCACAGGATAACGTAGAACTACATAAATGAAAACAAATTGTGATTTTATGTGCCAAAAGTGTGATTGGTTTAAAACAGTGTGATGTGATTATATTTCTGTGAAAATGTGCCTTTTGCTAAAATGTTTCAGGTATGTAGTTAATTTTTAAATATTGTTTGGTTCTTACATCAAAGACGATTCTACCACAATTCCAATGACCAATTACGTAAAAATCCAATTCTTTCGCGATGCGTGATTAGATGGTATTCGTTGAATGTTTTATTCATCTTTAATTATGATTATGACTCAACGTATCCATTTTTCTCATGTTAACAACAGTACTATAAACTGAATGATGGCCATAAAATGCTTCATATAAAGTGAACATAAAATGAAAGTCCTACTGTGGAATGTCAGGTTTTTAACTGCCATAGACAGGTCTAACAACGATGACCTTGAGAGCGTCATTAATTTATATGGGTGCCTCTTCTAGCCTCTTCTAGTTTGTCTAATGCAAAAGATTACTACTATTTTCTATACTTGACCTGGAAGATTATAATCTGAAGTTCCCTTTTAATTATGAATTCACAAGGAATGTAATTCATTAACCACTAAAGTTAAAGTATCTATATGTGAGCTGGTACTTTTAAATAGTTTGCAGTCTCAGATTACTCCAGACACTATCTTACTAAACTTTAAATTTACTGCTTCAAGAAAATTTCTCAGACATTCTGGCAAAGTTTTGCAAACGTCCTAAATGGCTCAATGGTCTTATTATAAAACCAACTTAGGAATGAATGTCGCAACGACCTTGTACCTGACATTTGCGTAGTTAAGTCATCTCTACAAAAATGCAGTCGCGACGTGCCTACATTATCATCTACACCCGTCCTACTAATTATATTAGTACCACGTTTAAGATGATTATCATGTTTTTGTCACTTCTTGCAACATTTAAAGCCAACTTCGTTTTTTCCTTTCAAAGGTTAGATTTAATCTTTTACTACCTTTTGTCTCTTAGTTTTATCTTTGTCCTTATGTATTTCGTTTATTGCGTCAATGAGTTCTTAGTCTGATGTCCCAAGTTGGGCAGACATATCAGAAGCAATTTTATTGGATCTGAAAAGTTTGTACATTCCATTAAACTTTCGATAGACATCGTCCAGAATTTTGCTTTTACGATTCCTTCGTGATTGCGTGTCCTCATTTGTCCCTCTTGGTATTTTTGGATTGTTTTTGTGTGTCTCTTGTATATATCTTTTTGCGAATTTAGTGTCATTGGGTCCGTACACCCCTATATCAACTTCATTATTATTCTTATTTTTATAACCGAATAGCTTATCATATAAAGCATTAAAACCATGTTAAAACTAATAAGCATTGTGTCAAGATTTATTATCATTTAATCTTCACGCTTCATGGCTTACCTTGGACGTATAGAATTATGGATAAACATCCATCTTTACTATGTACTTGTTTAAATTATGTGGGGATTAGGTCATCATCATATCTTCAAGATGGCATGATGCTATGTCGTATTATAAATAAAGACACAGAACTACAGGGAAACTCTCTTTCGGGAGTTTATTGTGGTCTTCGAAAACGGCCCTTATTTTGAACAAGATAAAATCTTCCTTGAATTTCTAAAATGAAAGAAACTCCTCCAAAATTAATCTGTTCCTTAGATACGGCCTTGGCATGTGCGGTCGGATGCCAATGACTTCACTAGAACAAAATTCCGTGAAATTCATGAATGCTAATTGGATTTCGTGGATCTTTAATTGTATCACATCGATTTTATTATACGGAAATTGCTTCATCAAGCCTGGGGGCTTTGATATTAATTTTGTACGCATGTAATTGTAATATCCACAGCTTTGAAGTTGTTAAAAGAAAGTTATAGTTACAGAGTAGCCTTTATACTGTTCATACCTTTATTAGTTATGGTCCTTAACGGCCTTACGAAGCAACAGAATCTGATCTATCTGTTCACTGTTCCATAAGCAAAACACAAGCACCTCAGCCTTTTTTATCGCTTCGTGATTTTCCACGCGATGCTTTGTCGCTATTTCAATGAAACATTGTTCCTTTCGAAGAATTTTAAAAACAACTTTTCTGACTTCAGCTGTACTGTGAACATGAGTATGTGCGGTCAACCTCACGCCAGAAAATACAGCGTAACTTTAAAAACAAACTTTACTACTGCGTAATAGTCACCCTGATTGATGTCATCAGGTATAACAAATATATTTTTATCGTACATACATATAAATTGCTTAGGTATCATCAGCGTCACAATATGTCATAAAGATGGATCAAGTTTCAAAAAAAATTAAGTCATTGGTTACCATTCCATACCAAGCCTTGAAGGATAAAATAACCGGATAGTTTAAATCTTCACAAATTATTTTATCACCACTGTATATTCGTTTACATACTATAAATACCGTAACATATGCTTAAGATAAAATTTTAAATTTAAATGAACATGCTTAGTTGATGAGGCAATATTTTAATATATGTAGGTGACGTAATCAAGAAGTTTAGGATTATACATAGTGATATTTAAAGGGGTATGTGGGTCTTAATGATTACCCAATAACATACATATTTGATTGGAATAATTTAATCTAAGTTGAATCTAAGATTGCTTCTGTGTTAACAGTAATAATAAAGCTGTAAATACAGATGATAATAATCCTAAAATTCTAGGTCATATGGAAGAAAATGACTTTTTCTTTTTTGCTCTCTGTTTTACAAAAGAAATAAAATAGCTTTAAGTCCAAATCTTTCCGCTTAAAATCCTCCAGTTTGTAATCGTTTTCGAAACCATCCATTTTAATTACCATTCTTTCTTTCAAACCTTTGTCAAGACGGATATCCAGCTCCCTTTTCTAAAAACCCATCTGTGTCGGCCATGTTAAATTGCACGGTAACAAGTATAGGAAGTAGAGGGTCAAGGTCATTGTCTTCAAACGGTTGACGATTTTACGTAACCGCGTTCATAATGAAGTCGTCACGACTTTTTTGTTTCTTTTCGGTTAAGTTGTTACATGTGCTGGCATCTAGTTTGTGATGATTACATGGTTGTTGGTGCTTTGGAAATTGGTATGTAGTATAAATAAAGATTTTTGAGTACGATGAGTTGAGGATGGAATGATCGTGGGTGTAAGTGAAGTTTGGGTGGAAGAAAATTTAAAGAGAATTATTTTTTTGAGGGTGTATGTATAAATATGGCTGTAGTGATTGTTTTCTATAGGATATAAAAACTTCGACACTTAATAGGAAGTCATTTAGGAGAGGTAAACAAACATGACGTAGACCTGGAGGTATAATTAGAGTAGGCATATACGAATCATTATTTGTTTTTAATATATTATCTATAAAATGTCTACTAGAACAAGTTCTAACGCAACCCGTTCCGGCAATTAAACTGCAATTAGTTAATTGACAGATTAAATGAATAAGCTTGATTAACGGAAAATTACGCCTAAAATAGTTTGATTGCTTATTCAATCGTTTACAAACATACTTGTTGAGAAAACTTGGTCTCATTTGACTGTCTATTGCTAAATATATATAGCTGTATCCTCTGAGGATTATCCTCGTTAGTCTTATCGTTTTTCTTCAAATTAAATAATATACCTTAGCGCTTGACAGTGATGGATTCCTCCAGGGAACTTCTTGGCGTTCGTAAGTCGGACGAATGTTCAATTTACTTCCTCCCGATGAGATTATATCATTTCAAGTTCCTGTAGATCTCACTTTGTGGAGATTTCTTATACTTTTTAGTTTATTCATTTTTACCTTGGTTGGTAGGTATAGCTGTTTATATTTACCTTGACTTTCATCGTCATTACGTATTTACTGGTCCCCTCTCCCTATGAGGATACAGTTTATTAATCGGCACAAGGTTCAGGTTACGCATTACTGTACAAATAATTGTAGCAGATACTAGGCTATCATACGCTTCAAGGAGATGTTCTTAATTAGATTTTCTTTGTTACAGAGGGGCGGTGTGTGAGTGTCGCACCGCCATGTCTCACCACAGCGACGAGCAGGCGCTCCTCACGGTCGCCTCCGACTCTTTCTGGGAGCCTGGTAATTATAAACGGACCACACGACGAATTGACGATGGACACCGGCTCTGTGGTGAACTACAGGCCCTTGTGCAGGAGAGAGCAGATATTGAGAAAACATACGCCAAAAGTTTGAGAGGATGGGCGAAGAAATGGAACGACCTCATCGAGAAAGGTGAGTTTTGCTTCATCACATTTCTGTACTTCTGGTGACTGACAAATTTTTAGCTTCTGCACACACAAAATAATAGAACCTATCTCCATAATAACCTTACGTATCAATACTGTGTAATCAAACTGACCATCAATATTGTGAAAGGACATGATATTTTCATTTTCCAACAATAGCTCCTATTGATAATAACCGCTGTTATTTCGTTGACCGAACAGAAACACAATGGGCTCGGTCCGGACCCATTCACTCGAAGTATCAAAGATTGATTGTGTACTGTGGGCCCTTATCATTCAGCGACAATGCCCATTGAATACCCTTATTATTTATTTAAGGCTAATGCACTTTTTGTGTTACCCAAGTATTTAAATGCTACCCGTTACATTGAAAAATTTGCTATTACATGACATATGTTCATCATATCCGCAATCGTAATGCTTATTTCTAAATATGGTGGGCTATTAACAATTGACTAGAAAAAGAAAATCAAAATGCTGTGTCATGTTCCGAAGATAGGATTAAAAGAAGAATAAATCCTAATAAATATTTCTTGCATCTTTCTAATGAATATGTCTTTAGATTTGACAAAATTAATCAAGTTATAGTCCTGATTAATTTCACTTGTTTCTGCCATTAAACTTAAGCGCGCTGTCAAATAAATCACCATAAATCACGATCTATTTTCGTAAACTCTTTGCCAAAGCGATATTTATAGCCAATAATTGCCAATTACAAATCAATATTAAGAGAAATCTTTAATTACTGCTTCGTATAACTCGGCACGTGTTGAAAGTTAATTAATTTCAGGAATATATTGATGTCTTCGTCTTTAATGAATAAGAATCATGATGGAATTAGTACAGTTCGTGATCACATGCTACTATTACTTCAATTAAATTCCGTAATGCAACGTTTATATGCTTTTTGTAGTGGTTCAATGACCGCGTTATTGATTGAGTAGGTGCATGCGCTAATGAAATGTCTTAAGATTTTGAGAACCTTTCCTGGGTAGGGAGAAGTACTTTAAAAAGGGTTTGATCTTCAATGGCCCAATTTGGATTTAATATTGTAGTTTTTTCAACTGTGAAATTTTAGTAATAGCATGAAACCCAATATTAAACTGTCAAACACCGCGAGGACACCGGTGACCGCAACCTATTGTTCTTTAATTGTGTCTATAATAACTACTCAAAGGGTTAACTAGATGTTTGGTTGATATCTGCCCTTTTCATTAAGATTTTTATTAAAATTCCAATTAGTTATGACAAAATTTATACCAATTATTATTATAGTAGCAAGTACACTTGATATTTTAAAAGGTTTGAACTTATCTTATGCGCTAGTTTTATGTATTTCATCAAAAACCTTACTATGTACTATCAGCCGTTCCACATCCAGCATTATACATAACTCCAATTGGCACACACAATTAAGTATTGCAATGACATCGGATCTAAAGATAGCGTGGGAATCGAATCTCTCTCCATGAGAATCACATACATCAGTTAGATCTCATTGATGCTCAGCATGTCTTAAATGCTATGGTATGAATAGAATTTAATATCGCCGGAACAAATGAGCTCTTGAATACCTGATTAACGACGGATTCCGTAGAAATTTTCGCTGGTATCGAATTAATCTGGAAATCTTCTTCAATACAAGAATAAAAAAAAATTGTTCAGTCATATCTCGGCATTGTATTGTTTTGATTTATTAGTATAAGTGTGGGTTGTGATCTAGAAATGAATGTGTCTAATTTACTTTTAATCTTATGATAAATTGGTTAATCTTCTGATGAATATATCTCATTGGCTTGCCTCCCTCCATTTTAGGACTCACCAATTTTCTCTTAATATTCTAGAATACAACATCTTTGAACACAAAGGAGCTCAAGACAGATCTTAACTCTAAACTACTGCTAAACTGTTGTTGTTTAGCAGTAGTTTAGAGTTCAAATCTGTTCGAGGATTGTGCAACCATTATATTATAGACAAGTATTTACTTGTTTTATTTCCACACATATCCAACTACTTCTTAAATCCTCTACGGATCCCTTAGCACTTCGCACTTGAAAATAACCGGAAACTTATTCAAGTATACTTCCATTGACGAATCAAAAGATTTCGATGTCTTACGACATGGTCATAATAGTTCGTCGTAGCTTTTGAAGTAGTGTCCAGCTGTTCGTGTGTTTTGTTCATGTACTTTCTAAAGAACCGGTTTGTTTATTAAACGGGTCGTTTAATGCCAATTGTTCAGTGATTTGTATGCTGGTGGCTGTGGTAGCTACTGTGATGACTTGTGTTCGGTTCTCATGAGGAACCAATGTCTTTAAATTCCTTGTAAAGATGTCGGAGATGAGTCTATTTGTCAACCCGTTCTTGTAGTCTCTTTGGGTGGGTGATATCATCATTATTTTTTTATTGCTGAACGTAGGACTGCCCCATTGACATGTCATTTGGAAATTGTTCCTTAAGTGGTAATAATTTATCATTGATATTTCTTTTTACTCTTAAATCGGTTATAATGTAAGAAAAATCGCAATTATTTTTTATTTCTTTTGTGAGTGTAGATACACGTACTGACCCCAAATGTAAGGTTATGTTGGTGTTATTTTAATAGTTGTATGATATTTAGTACTAGAATTTATATCTATATCTCCACGTGAAGCAACTTTATTCTTCTGATTACAAAACTTATAGTTTGCCTGCGTTAATCATGATCGAAAATATTTCCAAACCAATGAAGAAATGGTGTAACAAACACATTATTTACGTTTTTGAATTACATGCTAGATCTCTATAATCACTATAATCATTATGGTTGAAAATCTCGTGTACTTTTGACCCCATGACCTTCTGTGAGTCCTCGGTTACTTACCGTTGGCGTCAAATTGAAAATTAAATATTCATCCGTCCATTCAGTTTCTGATTAGTCCCCAAGGACCTGTACGAATTTTTCCATTGGAGCACGTGAAAAATTCCGCTTCTCACTGTTTTTAAAATTATGGTAACGTTGATAGGTTCCAGTGGAAATATTTCCTGTTTTTTTAAGAATCTTATTAAATTAATTGTACGTATTATGCGAAAGTGTTTTTGTTTAGACAAACAATCAAGAGACAAACAAAAGAGTGATTTTATGGTGGCCGTAGAGTGTTATAATAGGCCTTCTTTTACTTTAAACTTATCTTAATAGCATGCAAACACATAGCATAGGTGTAATTTTAATCTCCTTAATGAAAGGCACTAAAAACCAGTAATTTTAAACAATTTGTAGTAAGAATAGTATCGGAATGAGGATGGTAACAGCATACTAAGAGATTGCAACAGAGAAACAAGTCGTAAATTAGCATAAAACTCGACAGCTAACATACTGTGTAACCACTCTCAATAAACAGTGTGTCTTACGTAGTTACGTGCACATTGTAATGATTTGTAACTTCATCATGTGCCTGCAAGTAATGTCATCATCATTCACTTATTGGATGTAAGGTGGTTGTTTAACATAATACGATAGTTTTTTTTTTATTGCATAATCCGGTAAAACGAGTAGACGAATCACCTGATGGTAAGCAATCAGCACCGCCCATGGACACCTGGACCGTCAGAGGCGTTACAAGTGCGTTGCCAGCCTTTTGGGGATTAGGAGTTTGAGGATCGTTGGAGATTCAGGGATTGGGGAGGTTGGGGAAGGGGAGGGTAATTGGGCCTCCGGTAACCTCACTCACACGACGAAACACAACGCAAGCGTTGCTTCACGTCGGTT